CCCTGGCAGCTCAGTCCAGGATCCTGGAGTTTAGGCACCTGCTAGACCTGAGTTCAAATGCGACTCTACTATTTACAAGCTGTATGATCTTGGCAAGTTGCTTAAGCAATCTGAGTCTTTATTACTAACCTATACATGGGGATAATAATGCCTATGTCATAGGTTAGGTAGACTTAACGTAGTAAGTCTGAAATAGCCCCAAAATATAAAAATATGCAATAGCTGCAGATATTATTAATAGGAACAATACAGTGTTACACACTAGGTGAGAAGTAAAATTGAATCTCATTTCCTTTAGGTTAACAGGAAGATATACTTAGAAAGATTCAAGTTCATTGTATATTGATCAAGTGTGGGGAAGCACGTGACTTGGCTGGAATGTCTGTAAGGAGGATTCTCTGAAAGGTCTGGGACCTGGGGGGCGGTGGGGGAGCTTGCCAAAGGCGGCAGTCCCTACCTTGACTTTTCCAAACAAGTCCGATCCCCCAGGTATTTTACTAGAATTTTATGTTTAGACTTTAAAATGTCGTTGCTTAAAGGACGCATGTGTTTTCTCAAGAATGTTTACCCTGCTGATAGTAACTAATAATTAATTTTAGTTCAAACTGTTGTTACAATAAAAGCCAAAGGAGACAGGCGAACAGGACTACTTGGTGGCGATAGCCAAGTAGTCCCTCAGCCTCTCTTTCACAAAAACATGTGTCAGAGTAATCATTCATCCGTCATTCAGGGTCTGCCAGTCAGCCCTGGCAATCAAGTAGCAGGGGCAGTAAGAAAATATTTATAATATGTCTTAATTTATTCACTAAACAAATATTCACTGAATGGCCACTATGTGGCAGGTGCTTGGTACTGAAGACACGACAATGAATGAGCCTCTGTTCAACTGGAAATTAAACAGTAGGATTCATTCTCATATTCTTATAATATAGAAGGGCTTTGATATCTCTATTATTTATAGTTGGTAAAAATAGAAAAGAAAAAGTAAGCTTTTTCCCAGGCAGTCAGTCAATAAACAGACCTTAGATTGTAAGCAACTTGAGGACAGGCCCCTATCTGTCTTGCTCACTGTCAGTCTCAGGACCCAGCACAGAGTATGGCACATCATGGGCTATTAGTGATCTCCTGAGTTAATGAATGAACAGGAGTAAAGAGGATATTCTGAAAGTCAGGGCTGGTAAGATCATTTCTTACCTGCTGAAAGTCTCACTTGATTTGCTGCCTTCGGTGGACTCCCTTAATGAGTTGCTGTTTCTGTTGGAAGACGGATGGGGAAATTAAAGACTATACAATGTTATTTTAACTTAGCAATAAAACAAAATTGTTCCTCTGAACATTGCTTTTAGACAAGCACAGACTCAAAAGAATGAGATTGGGGCACTGGCTTTTCTGGGTGGAGGAAACAGTATGGAGAAAAAGTTGGAGACAAACAGCAATGGGAATCAGGAGTAGTCTGTCTAGATTAAGCAGGCTGGTCACAGGGAGATGCTTAGTCAGCCTGAGGGATCATGTACTTAGTGCAGCAGAGAGTGAGGAATTGCGGAAAAACGGCAAGCAATGGCCCGTGTCTAAAATGAATAACAAATTAATATTAGCTTTTTTTTCTCTGATGGCTAAAGTCATTTCTCAGAAGTTGTCTTTAATTAGGGGTCATGGATTTCATTTCCTTATGCTCTTCTTATGATTCTACTTAAAAATTCAGCTATTCAATTATTGATGAAAATAGGATTGTTTTCAGTGAGGTTCTTATAATCCTATAGTGCAGTGGTTCTCAACCTTCCTAATGCCATGACCCTTTAATACAGTTCCTCATGTTGTGGTGACCCCCAATTTCATTGTTACAAATTGAACATAATTAAAGCATAGTGATTAATCACAAAAACAATATGTAATTATATGTGTTTTCCGATGGTCTTAGGTGACCCCTGTGAAAGGGTCGTTCAACCCCCAAAGGGGTTGCGACCCACAGGTTGAGAACCGCTGCTTTAGTGAGATTGTTATCATTTACTTCCAGACTGCCTTCCTCTCAAAAGTGATGTAAGCCATTGTAAATATGTGGCACACAATTTTTGCTACATGGTAAACAGTAGCAAAAATTAAAATAAGCAAAAGCATACCTATTAAATGATCTCTAGAAAGTAAATTACTGTAGTACATTTAATTGAAATCCTTTTTTAGTTTCAGTTAAACAATGTAACAGCTTTCTTTCAATGAGCTCAAAATGCCCATCAATTCCCATGTAAACTATCAAAACAGAATTCCCAAATTACCTAGTCACATATAAAATTCTTAGACAATTATTTAAATTCAGAATCTCAGATTCTTCTTACCTATGGCACATCTCTAATCTCAGGCTTGACTCAGTAACGCAATCTCTTACTCTACCATCTCTGTATAGATAAATATAACTCTCAGTTAATTACACAAAGAACAATTTCCAGATTCCATGTATTTTTAGAATAATCATTGTTCATATGTATTTAATTCTTCTTTAAGGCACAACAGTAGATTTTAGGCTTCCAAACAAAATTTGCAAAGTTCATCAACTCAAAAATGCTTTTTCGTCCCATGGACTCTTAAGAATTTCAGACAGAGTTTATGCTTTGGTGAAAAGGTCATTTGTAGGATTATAGCAAACGAACATAAATTCTCTAACAGCAGGGACCAAATATATTCATATTCAATACACTATAATACAGTCAAGCCCACAATGGCTGAAGTGATGAAAATCCCACCAGGGAAGTCATGGCAACCTTGTGGAATGATTAGTGCTGGGCACCAGGGGCTCTAACTTTTACTTCTGGCTTTGCCTCTTTGCTTCTTAGGAGGAAGCAACTCAGTCTGTTCCTAAATTTATTCATTTGTTAAATGAGCTTAATAATCTGCCCTGGCTTAGAAGGTATATTGAAGAGTCATGACAAAAATAACAGTGCTCTGCACATGTAAGTATTCTTTGATGGAGTGGCCAATAGAATGTTTTTAATGTGTGATTCAGAGTATATGATGTTATCTTAGGTAACTGTCTTTTACTACTACCATTTTACTATTACTATTAATAATATTAATAGCCCGGCCAGTGTGGCACAGTGGTTGAGTGTCAATTTAGGAACCAGGAGGTCACAGTTTGATTCCAGTCAAGGGCACATGCCCACGTTGTGGGTTTGATCCTCAGTGAGGGGCATGCAGGAGGCAATCGATCAATGATTCTCTCTTATCACTGATGTTTCTATCTCTCTCTCCTACCTTCCTCTTTGAAATCAATAATTAAAATGATAATAATAATATTTGTAGTAAAAATTAGGAAAATCCAACTAATATTTTGCTACTTCTGGTTAATATATACTAATTGAACATATTAAGAAACTGGAGATTGTTTATATATAAATATTATTTCAGAAAGTATCACTTTTAGATATTTATCATATAACCAGAAAATGAATATTACAATAATGTTGTTGTACTAACAGCTCACATAAAATTAGTATTATAATACTAAAAATATAGTATATACCATATTAAAATGCTTTAAGTTAATCTAATAACAATGCCCAGTAAAATTTTAAAACTGTCTGAAAATAATATGAAAATCTCATTATTTCTGTAGGTATGTATAAGAAAGGGCTCAAAACTGGTTGAATCCTTTTTGGATCTAAATTGTTATCAATTTGATATAACTCATTGGTATGAATACCTAGAGAACCAAAGCCTTTCCTATTGGATTACATCTGGAGAGGTATATAGTTCCCAAGGTTCTAGTTTTCACTTCACCTATGTGGCTGTAGGCAATTGAACCTTTTGAAATGTGTGTTTTTTTCATTTGTAAAATAAATACTGCCTTGTGTTGTCTCAAACAGTTGTAATAAATAAGATTATGGATGTGAAATCTGTTGGGAACTACAAATTTACATAGAAATGCCTCACCCTGATTACTTTTTGAATAGAGTAACTATATTATTTTCTCTCAATGTCAAGTTATTTTACTTTTGCTTAACTCCTCCACTTTCATATTGCTGTCCTTAGTAATGTCAATTTGAAAATTATTTAAACCTCAACCTCCTAGAGCAGTGATTTTCAACCCTTTTCATCTGATGGCACACATAAACTTATTACTAAAATTCTGCAGCACACCAAAAAATATATTAAAACTAGAGGCCCGATGCATGAAGATTCGTGCAAGAAAAACCTTCCTTCCCCTGGCTGCTGGCACTACCTTCGCTCTGGCCAGAGCCACCTTTCCACCTTCGCATGCTGCCCAGAGGCCCGGAGCGGCCGGGGCTGGGCAGAATGCCTGCATCATTGCCATGGCGATGATGCAAGCATCCCAGCCCGGCCCCTGCCATCTTTGTTGCATCAATTTGAATATTCCCTCCTTATTGGCTGGGGGCACCACCATGTTTTGTTGTGAAGTGATGGTCAATTTGCATATTCCATCTTTATTAGATAGGATTTTTACCAATCTGACAAAAAATAGGTATAATTTTGATTCATTCACACCAGATGGCTATTGCTGTGTTGGCTGTTGTCATTTTTCTATTTGACTATCTAAGGAAAAAGAGGTCAGTGCCCCTGACTAAGTAGTCCGATCGCACGTTTTAAAAATTCTTGCAGCACACTGGTCAAAAATCACTGCCCTAGAGAGTAGTACACAGACAACTTGATGGCAAACCACTGGGTGAGGAGCTTCCCACCCTGAAGGACACTCGGTCTTACACAGCCCCAAACGTGACTCCCAGGGACGGTGCTCTCCCATCATCCTCGGCCTTGCCCACAGGCGCAGAGGGCTCCTCGTTGATCACACTTCTCAGCTCCTGCAGAAGCTGTTTCAGGTCCTTTGTGGGGTCCTCCTTCAGGACGTTAGGTTTCACAGAGTGCTGCAATAAAGCAATGTACAGAACAAATACACTTTGTGGGGGTTGGTTTCAGATGTGTATGCTGTTATTTCTTATTATAAAATTAACTTAACTGATAAATAGAAATTATGAAGAAGAGGAAAACAAAAATCATCAGTAATCTTGCTAGTCAGGGATAATCAATGATCAACACAGTGCCATACCTAACTTATAAATGTGTGTATACTTATTTATACATATATGCACACATATTTACAAATTAGAATATACACACAGGAGCCAATTATACACATCTACTTTTAAACCTTTTTTATTTTTTAAAATATATTTTTATTGATTTCAGAGAGGAGAAAGAGAGTGAGATAGAAACATCAATGATGAGAATCATTGATTGGCTGCCTCCTGCACACCTCCTACTGGGGAACAAGCCTGCAACTCTGGGCATGTGCCCTTGACTGGAATTGAACCAGTGACCCTTCAGTCTATAGGCTGATGCTCTATCCGCTGAGCCAAACCAACTAGGTCAAAACCTTCTTTGTTTTTTAATTTAAACAGTGTATATGAACATCAGACAATGCCATTAAATATTAACTACATTCAGGCAAAATAATTTCAATACTGGTTTTAGGAAGTTTTTAAAATTTATTTTAGAGAGGGAGGAAAAGGAGAGAGAGAGAGACAGAGAGAGAGAGAGAGAGAGAGAGAGAGAGAGAGAGAGAGAGAAAGGAAGGAAGGAAGGAAGGAAGGAAGAAAGAGAGAAAGAGAGAAAGGGAGAGATTGATTGCCTCCTGTATGCTCCCTGATAGGGATCAAACCTGAAACCTAGGTATGTACCCTGATCAAAAAATTAATCTGCAAACTTTTGGTGTATGGGACGATGCTCCAAACCAATCAAGCCATCTAGCTAGGGTGATAGGAACTCTTTATTTATTGGAAATATTTTTCTAGTTTGTGATTCCTTTTAAATTTTGCTTATTGTGGTCTTGTGATTTAAGCTTCATTTAGTCAAAATTATGAATCTCCCCTTTTAATGTTTGTATATCTTGCAATTCTTTTATTGATTCATTTTTAATACTTTACTACTTAATTTACAAATTAGAATAGTTTGGGACATATTTTGATACAAGCAAAATATACTTTCTAAAATTAGAAAATAGTTAGAAAATGAACAGTTCTAAAACATTCTTTAAATATGACTCCAGTTAGGCTGGTAAAGAAATAACTAAGCATAAGCTCTTCCTGAAGCTACTGAAGACCATCCAAGACTCCTGCTCCCTCCCACCCCCATCCTCTGACCCTTAGAATACACATTGAGGCTATTTCTAGAGGACATACATTTTCAGGCTAAAATTTCTACAAGCTTTAGGTTTCAAAGTAAGAATATAAGGTTATACTGTTGTTGTTAAACTTGTTTATTTTGTGTTTTGATTAGTTTTCTGTTACATTGTATGTTAGACTTTGTTCCAAAATAATGCCTAAAATTAGATATTTAATACACCTTCATCTCCTCCAAATACTGTTCTCTCTAATGGCCTTGAGTCATTATAAGCAAGTTTATGAGTTATGATGTGAAATAATAAACGTCTAGGGAGATTGTATGCTTCTCAACTGGTCCTATCTCCATTCTCCAAAGATAGAAGATAAATGTAAAAGCTAAAAATAAAAGCTTGATCTCATTCAGTTTGAATTAGATTATTCTATTTTGAGAATGGCTGACCCAAACCCATCTCTTATGCTAGTATTCCTGCTAGAAGACTGTAATAAAAATGAAATATAAATAGATTTTTCAAATGCATATATATTATTTATACTGTATATTAGGAATGAGTGAGTAGGAAACAAAAGTTATAAAGTATTACTAAAAATCTTGCCCACATCATGGGTACTTCAGTGACAAAGATCAAGCCCACCTAGTACAAATTATAGTGTATGTGTATAGACTCTGATACAGAAATAAAATCATACTATCCTGGAAATAGTCTCTTTTTATATGCTAAAATAGCTTATCTAAGTATTAATATAAAATGCTTTGATGTCAACCTACCAATTACATGTGTATTTGTATGTACATATATACTCTATAACACATACAAACATATGCAGGTGTGTTTGAGGTTAGACCAAGTCACATAATATAAATTTTCTGGTTCTCCCATTTTCTCACCTATAGCACAAGGGGAATAAATTGGATAATTTTAGAAGCCTTTGAGGCTCTAAAATGGCATAATCTTCATTCACAAAAACCTAATGAAATATAGTATTTTAGACACACTAGAATCATGGAACAAGAAGGCTAAAGGACATGAGATAAATGAAGGGACAATGCAGGGCAATGCAAACAGTAAGATTCTGCTTCTAAAGGTAAACTTGGCATTTATTTCCGTTCTATCTAAAGCCCCACTAAAATGACACTAAAGGGATTAACAAGGATAAAGAGGAAAAGGAGAGGTAGTATAAACAGTAAGATTCTGCTTCTAAAGGTAAACTTGCATTTATTTCTGTTGTATCTAAAGCCCCACTAAAATGACACTAAAAGGATTAACAAGGATAAAGAGGAAAAGGAAAGGTAATAGTAGATGAGTAATGATAACAAAAGTTGGGGGATGGAAAGCACGTGGATCATTTCATAACTGATTTAGCAGAACAAGTAAAGCTAAAATTTAAAGTACCAGCACAGAAGCAGCCAACAAGAAGCAACCTGCTCTGCATGGAAGGATCTAGAAAGGCTCAGAAAGTGGGGGTCTTGTGTTCCTGAAGACCAAGGTAAGAGAGAGTAGCAAAATAGGAGGATTGGGTGAAAGTCTATGGGAGAAGCTGTTAGAATCCCAAATGTCCTACCCATATAATTGTATAAGGACTCATTCCTTTCCCCTAAGTGAATTCAGAGGCTTAATCTCCGGGTGAGGTTGACCAAAGGACTTTAGGCTTCAATGGGATACCTGGCATAGCAGGAACAAGGCTGCACACTGAAAATATGAGCACGGAGTGAGGTTGCATAGTAGACAGGTAGCCCATACTCCCTGCCCCGCTCACCTCTCAGAATGCTGGCAGATGGATTGGGGAACTGACAGGACCAAGAAAAAACAACACACCTATAGATAATTTGTGGGCCCCTCAATAAAAAAGTAATACTTAACTATCTACTAGTTGACAAATCCTGTCAACTTTCAAAGAGCTACTTTAATAAGCTTTTAGGTCCTCAATCTTAAATATGAAAGGACAACCAATGATCTCCAAACATTGAAGAAAAGTCTCTAACATGAAAGACAGACATCAAAACAAACAGAAAAAAAAATGAATTTGAAACATGAATAATTCAGGTGACAGAGAAATTACTGAAAAGCTGAAGTTAATATTCTTAAACAGAAAGGAGAAAATATCATAAAACTATATAAAGAGAAGATTTAAAGAACAAAAAGGGCTCCTGGAAATTAAAAGAATATATGAAATTAGAAAAAAATTTCAAATAGTTGTTTGGAAAATAGAGTTGAAGAAATTTCCCAAAAGGTGAGAATAAAAGATGAGGAGATGGAAAGTGGAGTCAAAATTAAAGAAGATTGTAGAATCAATCTAAGAGTTCTAATAGTTGACTAACAGAAACTCCAGAAAGAAATAACTGAGAAAATGATCAGAGAAATGATACAAGAGGATATCTGAGAGCAAAAACCCCCCCAAGAATCTGCTAAGTACCCAACACAATGAAGAGAAAAAGGACCCTTTCTCCACTATAAACAATCGGAAATGAATCCCAGGGATAAAGGCTCTGGAATAAAAATGGCACAATAGCAACAAAATTTTGACCATCAAATATAAGTGAAAAATAAAGGTGTTTCTCAGACATACAAAGTTTTAATACATAGAGAATGAAATAACCCTTTCAGAGGAAGCCACTGCATTGTATGCTCAAATGAAAACAAAGATATAAATAAACCAAGAAGGTAATTAAACCTGAAAAGGAGGGGGGGAAGGGGGGACACACCAGAGAAAAAAAAGTATTCCCTGGATTTTGGTAGAAGGAAATCCAAAAAGCCCACCGTGCAGCAAGTGTAGAAAGCAGCCGATCCAGATGTGAACACCATATGTATTGGATACCTATTATGTGCCAGATATTGTTCTAGGTACTTGAGACAGACACATCAAGGAGCAAAACAAAGAATGTATGTTACTTTTATTTTGTAAAATTATATACTATATTTCTTAAGAGAAGGACTTAATTGTATATAGAATGCTTGACAGTCCATTTAGAAAATATAGTTTGTTTTTGCTGTTAGAACTATTATTTAAAAGTTTAATTTAATAGATATAGGACTGGTACTTTTTCAGTGATAGATGAGATTCTTTACAATCAAGTAGAGTCTATATATTAAGTGGCTAGGCAAAATCTACGATATTGGTTTAAGGGTAATGAAAAGTCATGGAACTTCAGAGCGAATCTTTCTAGATGACCTAGATCTTATAATCCAGACTCCTCATTAGAGATGAAAAGAGCAAGGCACAACATATTTAACCGGATTTCCAAGGTCCCAATGGCTCCTGGTCAAATATTCTTTCTTGTTGTTTGATTTGGGTGTTGTTGTTTTTTTTTTGAAGAGAGAGATTTAAATACATTTTTTATCAGTATAACATGTACATAGTTTCAAAGGTAAAATGATTTTATAAGAATCACCTAAAACAAAAAGCAGCAGTCTCCTTCCCTTCCTTTGTCCATCTCCAAGTTTAGTCTTCAGAGTGAAGAACATGCTTAACCTCTAATATTAATATTAATATTAATATTTTAGCTCTGGCCAGTGTGGCTCAGTTGGTTGGGTATAGTCCCATGCACCAAAAGGTTGCTAGTTTGATCCCCGTAGATAGCCAATCGACGTTTCTCTTTCACAGCAATGTTTCTCTCTCTCCCTCTCTCTCTAAGAAAAGTAAAATAAATAAATAATAAATTATTATTCAATTGTTTGATAGACTATTTTATTATTTGCTGTGTGATTGCTTGTTTTTCAGTACACACATCTTAAGTGTGTAAGAAGAGTCCACTTCAACTTTTAGTCATTTCACAGAATATATGCTCATTTAAATGGCTCAGGTAGAATAACTGGTAAGTCACTGGTGATCCTATTGCTATACACACAAAAAGACTGTTAATTATTGTAATTAATGAAATTGATTGTGTACTTATGGAATAAGTCCCATTTTGTTAGAGGTGGAGCTGAATACAGGTTGCAGGGAACTAGTGACTCCATAACTCTGACTCCATGACTCTATATTTTTTAAGAAGAAATATTCCTAAATTTTACATTGCACATATTTTCCCCCTGAGCTTTACAAGTACAAAAGGTTATACTAAACTATCCAAAGTTCTTAATATTTTATGATTATAAGTTCACATGTAGTTTATGAATCATTTTCATCTTGGTAGAGTATTAAATATGCCAGTAATTTGCCTTTTGCATTTGAAGTGATGCTCATTTTAGCTATCTCACAGTGTGCTTTGTAATCTGGAAATCCCTGTGATTGAACATAAGGCTATTAAATAACTTACTTTAACAATTATTGTTAAAATGAATCCCACTGACTACTTCATATTTATTTTTCCCAGAGAAAGCATTAAATAGTGAAGAAAGCATTTTCATTGATCTGGTCTACATAAATCTAAAATCTAGTAATTAAAAATATCATAACTATAGGTATAGTTTTACATGAAATTCTTCTCAATTTAAAATTCTCTATATATTATGTCATTTGCATCATGGATTGTAGGACTAGTCCTTACATGAGATAGGAAGCTGGCCGTAGACTGGGTAGACGGCATATTGGAGTGAGGACGGGCAGAGGACTTCAGAAGACGTGGTTTCACAGAAGGATTTGAGGTGTATCCAGGGCCCTGAAGTTCCTGGGAAACAACATCAATGTGAACAAAATAATTGTCAACTACAATTTGAACTGTGAAGTCAAAATGTATTTTTTTCAAACATAATTTCAGTCTTACATGTTGAACTTCTACAAAGTTATAAACCAAAGTACTACATTAAGCAAGATGATTCTGGGTATCTAAGTTACCCTTTGAAGACTAAGCATGTGCTTAGGGAAATGCCTTCACATATCTGATTGATAAAAGCTTTCCAGATATGAAGACACACCTAGCATGTTATGCCACTATATTGGTTCCCAAATTTTGCCAAAGACTCCACACTAGTGTTGATATAATATTGAGAAAGATCCTCTACAGCAGGAGTGTTCTAGCTGTGAAAGTATCCACTCCTGAGACTTTAAAGAATGTCTACAACTTGAAAATATACTTAGAAAAATAGACAGATATGTCAGTGGCA